GAGGAGAGTGTGTCCGAACAGGTGGAGTACGAGTTAAATGGTCCCGATGAAGGCGAGAATACTGCTGGACAACACAGTAACTCACCTCAAACTGAACCTGTTGTGCCCAAAATCAGCACCAACCTGCATAATTTCGATCTATAGCATTAGATAAGCCCCGAAGACAAGTTGGTAGGCCAATTCGATATGGATTTGATGACATGGTGGCCTATGCTCTGCAAGTTGCTGAAGAAATGGAGTTCTTTGAGCCATCTACTTACAAAGAAACAATCACAACGAAGGAGGCTGATGTGTGGATAACAACCATGAGTGAGTGGATCTTTAAGCGGAAAACGGGGCTGTCAGGAGCTGAAAGTGTGAGATACAAGGCCCGTTTGGTTTTTCTATCTCAGTCTTTTGGATGTGGGGGTATCTGTAGGGCCTTAAACTCACAGGCTCAAAGGGGTTGATTATAATGAAATTTTCTCGCCGGTGGTGCGGCCATACGTCCATTCGGGTGTTGTTGGCACTAGTAGCACAAGCAAATTTGTAGTTGGAACAATTGGACGTCAAAACGGCTTTCTTACATGGTGAGCTTGTAGAGGATATCTATATGAGTCAACCGAAGGATTTTGTAGCTCAAGGTAAAGAAAACTATGTTTGCAAGCTCAAGAAATCGCTTTATGGGTTAAAGCAATCTCCGAGATAGTGGTATAAACGTTTTGATAGCTTTATGGTGAGTCATGATTTTACTAGAAGCCCTTATGATTGCTATATATATCATAAGAAAGATGCTGATGGGTCACATGTGTATCTGCGACTTTATGTGGATGATATGTTGGTTGCGGCTCATGATATGGCTAAAATTAAGAAGTTAAAAAGACTCCTTAATTTTGAGTTTGACATGAAAGATTTTGGGGCTGCTCAAAAGATTCTCGTTGTGGAGATTATCCGAGATAGATCTAGACGTAAACTTTTCTTGTCCCAGAAAAGTTACATTTTGAAGATACTTTCTCGATTTGGTATGGCTTCTACAAAGCCTGTGAGCACACCTTCATCAACAAATTTCAGACTATCAGTGGCTTTGGCAACTCATATAGAAGTTGAGGTGGAGTATATGAGCAAAGTTTCTTATTCTAATGCTGTAGGAAGTCTTATGTATGTCATAGTCTGTACTAGACCTGACATGGCTCATGCTGTTAGTGTTGTTTCGTGCTACATGGCTTATCTGGGGAAAGAACATTGGGTTGCCGTGAAGCGTATTTTTTGTTACCTCAAAGGCACCAGGAGAAGGAAATTGTATTGTGGTTGGATTTTCATATTCTGATTACGCAGTTGACCTCGACACACAGAGGTCATTAACGGGATATGTGTTCACTCTTGGAGATGCCTTAGTGAGCTGGAAAGCTACGTTACAGCCGTCTGTTGCTTTGTCTACGATAGAGGCTGAATATATGGCTCCGGAGGCTAAGGGATTTGGCTGAAAGGTTTGCTTGGAGATCTTGGGTTTCATCAAGATCAGACTGTAGTTTTTTGTGACAGCTAGAGTGCTCTTTGTCTTGCAAAAGACCAGGTGCATCGTGAGAGAATGAAACATATAGATGTTTGTTATCACTTTATACATTCGGAAAGGAGAATTAAAGTGAAGAAAGTGAAGACCGACGACAATCCAACTGATGTACTGACGAAACCCGTTTCTTTGAACAAGTTTAGGCATTGTTTAGATCTCCTAAACATTGATAGCTGGAAGTAAAATTTTTACTGTACTAGAATTAAAGCCAAGGTGGAGATTTTGTTAGGTATGGCTTTAATTAAAATAGTTAGTTTTTTTCTTCTAGTGTGACTTGGCTGTTACCTATAAATAGGTTGGGTTATCCTCATTTGTGAATAATCCCAAATTTCGAAAATAAGATTCCTTCGATTTCTCAGTTCTTCCAAAATTCTTGCTACATCATTTTCTCTAATTTCTTGACATGAACAATAAGAATTAGTAGTCTTATTGAGACTAGAACTCATAGCGCCTATCATGGATAAACTATGAGATGGAAGATGATGATCGTTCGGTCACGTTTTTTGGTGAAAGATGATGGCGATGGGAGGAGGGTAGAGATCGCAACAGTTGAGGGGGTGAAAAGGAGAGCAGACCGAGAATGTGGGATGAGGCTACCGAGGGTAAAGCATGTTGGGATTAAACCATGACAAGAACATGGCTCATGATAGGAGTTATTGGATACACAAGATTAAGTCTGATTTTTGTAAGACTTGTAGCTATGTAGAATGGGGTAAGGGTTGAGCTGACAGATAGGATGACAATGCCCTAGCATGGTTAGAGGGAGAGGATATGGTCCTAGTAATTTTGTTTTAGTGGCTTGGTGTTTTCGTACTTTACTCTTGACCTTACTTGCCCGGGCTAGTTTCAATCGTTGCACGGAATCCTTACTACTGTTAATCAATTATTGTTGACTATTGTTGATACTTTTTTACTGTTCTTATTACCTGGTCAGAGAAATTGTTCCTCTTTTGTTCTATTCCTATGTCTCATAGGCTCCAGTCTTTTTGAAGTTCCCAAAACCTCGAAAAACAATCACTTCTCGGTTTAGATCTTATTTCACCACATTTTTTTTTGCAAACGGGTGTCATCATGGAAACAATCTTTCTACCCCTTGAAGGAATGATATGATTACATTCTAACCCCACACTCTACTTTCAAGTGAGATATATTGGGCCCGTTGGTTTGGTTTGGTTTCAAAGAACATGCAACTCTCATAGGTATCAATCCTTTTCGCTAATCCTCTTCGTGCACACACTCACATCCTTCCTTAGATGCAATTTTTGTATTGCATAACAAATGTCACTTAACAAACTTGAGTTCTAAACCTTTGTCACTAAGCATGGTTGCTCAAAGATCCTTGTAATAGTTTAGCTCAAAACAAAACCTAATTTTGTGTAGAGTTACGCCTCCAACTCCATACCTTTCGGCCTTTGTACCGAAAAGGCAATAATTTGTTGTTGCTGATTTGTAAGTTATCGCATGTTTTCAACTTCGAGTTTAGAAAATCTTACTATTTTAAATCTAAATTCTAAAACTTAGCATGCAACATCATTTAAGCACCAATTCACCCTTATATCAACAATAGGTAAGAGATTATGAAAACCCCTTGCAAATTTTCCCCAAAATTGTTTGTAGTAACTACTTATATGAAAAAATTGCATTTATTGAGTTTTTGAACGATGATACAACATAATACGACTGAGATTACTCAATATATCGTTGAAAACCTTACCCAAAATGCTTGCATTTAAATATTAGAATTGGAACCTTATCTCAAATGGTGAATCCTTACTTGATTGTTGCTCCACACTTGATTCCTTCAATCCATAGCCTTTTTCTTCTTTTAGCTCCAACCAGAGAACTGTATGATATTTCCTTTTTGCTGTCTAATTCGTTTACATGATTTGATAAAAAAAATGTCAGAATAAGACCGCGTAAATCTTTATATACCAAGCCCTCTTCAAATACTATAGGGCTAGCTATTTTTCTTTTAAAATAGATAGGGCTCATATGATTTCCCTTGATCCAATATATCACCAAAAGCTTCATTTATAATAATTTTATTGTAGGTCGACAAATAGCACCAACTACCTTACACCCTTACAACACGTGAGAAATCAGTTAACCTATGATAAACCAGGTTTTGTTCTTTAGTGTGATCTTTGTGTGCTGAAACTGTTCATCCATTGTGCTTGGGTTGATTGGGAGGTATCAACCAACCACCATGGTGTTCTCAACACATAACAATGTAAGAGCAACATGAATAACTTGAATTAATCATGAAATCCAGTACAGATTGTCATGTATTCATACAGTCAAAGATAATCATCCAATTCAATGAAGTTCGACATTACAAATACAAGGAAAGAACCTTGGGTGTTTGTCATAGGGGTGATACGAGCTGCCCTAGCCGATCATAAGTTGACTCCAATGAGAAATCTCTTTGGAGGCTCTATGCGAAAGACCTCTTATAGCAGCTTCACTCTGTGAAGGAAGGAGGGCCTGGAAACCACCCTTGAATTCCACCAGAGTTGGCACGATTGGAGGACGGAATGACCTTTTCACTTTAACGATGAAGAGCAAAGGGGAAATTAGTGGGTAATGGTGGATGCACAGAGCCGTGATTTTTGTTAAAGGGAGAGAAGATGGAATGAGTCTCACTTTAAATGGTCCTTAACCTTCCTCTTATTGCTATTCTTGACCGACAATGCTCAGTCTGATTCTAAATTTGATTCTAGCTGACCCAAATGCTACAAATACTTGCGAAAGTACAATTTTTATCCTTTCTATTATGGGCATAAGATTATGGCTTATGTTTGGTCATAGGCGATTGATAGACTCTGCACGTGCATAGTGGCTAGCCATAGGGTTCACTGCAACCATAGCAAATTGAAGGACTTCAACTTCAAAGTTGTGGCTAACCCACGAGCAATTCATGGAGATTGACGTAGCCCTACTCTCAGGTCCTCAACTGCAAAGTTGTAGGTCTATGCTTTCTTTGCAGAATTGAACTCCATAACCCTATTTTCTATTTTTGTTTGCTACACCTTTCACCTGCAATTACATCAAATAACAAAAATGCATCATATCCGCTTAATAGTGAAGTAACCGTACATATTTAATGATGGAAATGATGGCATATAACAGAGTTACTAATATATACTGGAGTAAAAATACAGCATATTGTTGTCTACGAATGGTCTCTGATAGCTTACTTATATGTATTTTTTGTTAGAGGTTCTTATACCATGTGCTAATTTGCCATTATGATCCTTGCTTGTATATAGTCTTTGTACTTGCTTTTGTTTCTGTTAGTTGTGCTACACTATACGTTGATGTAATTCTGAGTGAAAATCCATGTTCTAGAAGTTGTGTTCAAAATTTCAAGAAGTATTGGATTAAGATCAATGCATACTTTGGGACATTTTGTGCATATGCAACTAATTCGTTTGTTTCAATCTGGCAATAGGCTGTCTCAGTGTCTCCAATTGGAGGTGAATTTCTTACCGATTGCTTAATTAAAAGCTTGGAAAGCAAAGGAGTTAAAGTGAGTTACTGCTCATACTGAATGAATTTACACTCTACTGGTGATCAAGGTTGCAAGTTACAAAATTATGTGTTTGTGCCTGTGTCTGAAATACAGATAAGGCCTCGATACTCTTTTAAGCGAAAGGAAGTTCGGCCAGGAGAGTTTCAGGTTAGCTATATATTGCCTTACATATAAATTTGATTTCTTCCCTAATAATGAAATCGTTCCTATTCTTCCTCGTTCCATCACTTTGAATTCACTGTAATACATGGTGACATATAACTCATCTATATTAACAATAAACCACAAGGGTGGTGCCTGATTGGTTTGAGCTTGGCTCCAAAAGTCAAAAGCACCAGGAGGTCCCAGGTTCAAATCCAAGTAGGAATAAGAATCCCCTTGTGGCCACGGCCCACGGAGGTTCAAATGCGGTGACTCCAGGCTATTTGCAAAACAGGTGGTCGCCCTGGGATTAGTCGGCTCGCATAGCGGGTTGGATATCCAGGTTAATAAAAAAAACAATTAACAATATTGGTGCAGACAGATTGTATAGCATGATGCAATTTGAGAATTAATACATGCACTGCTGTATGCTTTTGATTACTATTTGTTTCTTTTTTCTTATTTAGGACTAACTCCTCTTACATTTATGATACTATTTATATTTAATTTAATAAACTGTTCCCTGTAGCGTTTGTTAATTTTTGATTGCACACACTTTTATTTCGCGTTCAGAAACATTAATGATAAGCATTGAATCATTTAGTCAAATGTAGTATAACAGTATAAGAAATGGATACAAAACGTCAGTCATGACATTTTTTATTTGATAATGTGGGTTGCTTTGTATACTTGCTCTCACATCATTGATTTTTTGACAGACTGTAGATGTCGACTTCCCTAACACAACTGAAAGTTATAGGATGTACTGCCAGGTTTGTTATCTTTTGGTCCAAAATTTCTTTTGAATAATTGTTTAAGCTCTCCTCATAAATGTGACCTTTTCTATTACAGAGGGTTATTGCCAGCGATATAAAGGAATGTGTCTGTCGTGCGCCTGATACTCCATATGACGGTTTGTGTCCCTTTCATATGTTAATCCATGTCAATTTAATTGTCTGGCTATGCCAGTTATAATGAACGAGTGTGCCTTCAAATCCTCGATCACAATGCTAATTTGATATTTGCTTTCTCTTTATGTAAAAAATGATACTTGAGAATAGTGGATATTACTATGTAAAACAATTGTTGGGTGACCGTTGGAATTATAATTCAATTTGACGATATTGGTTATTTGGATCAAATTTATGATGCTGATTTTCTTGCTTTTCTTCCTGATATCAGATATTTCTTATTCGAACATTCCGATGACAGCATATGAACTTCCTGATGGACAGTAAGTCAACACCTCTTCTTTTTGTTTTGGGTTGTGTAGATGTAAGACAGTTATAGGCATGCAATCTGTTGGTACTATTTCCATCTTTGCAATGGCAAGTGAAAACTGGTCAATTGTACAAATTTGCATCTCGTAGATCTTAGTTTGGAACCATAGATTGCTTTTAAGATACATAACTTGCTCTTTTGTTTAGGCTTCATAGAACTTATTCAAATGGTCATATTAACCAATATTTAACATGGTAATGTAATGATAAGTATCTCATGACTTAGGCATAAAAACGAAAATCATTAAGTTTCTGGAACATGAATGGGATCTTTTCACTAATAACAATCTAATATTTTCATTAAAATTACCAGTTTCCACAGTCCATCCTCTTTCGTTTCTCTGTCTAGTAATTTTTTTGTTATTGTTACTATGCTTGTCATTTACCTTTATTAACAGGACCATCGAGATTGGTTCTGACAGATTTAAGACTCCTGATATTCTGTTCAATCCGTCCTTGGTAAAGGTCAGTGGTTCTTAGCATCAGAAATTGGTTTGTTGTGATTCTGAGTTTGAAGTCATTGACTACTATGGTACTTGTAATACTGATTATATTAATATGCTAATTAGCATGTTTTTTTAGGCTTTGTTCTTTTTTTCTTGTTATTTTTTTAATTGGATGAATACAGAAGTCCTATTAAATAGGACTGTACAATTAACCCTTGAAAGGATGCACATACTGAGGGAAAACCACACCATACTACTTACAACAGAAATATGGCTTGGAAAACAACCAACATCTACAAAGAAGCCCATTACTCAAACCAAATTTCTTGTAGAAGACCTCTAAGAACCTTAGTTGAGAACCCAGAACTCCAACCCTGTATCATTAAAGACACCCAAGAACTAGGTAAAATCTATTATCTCAGTACCAATGAGTCCATCTTTGATCAACATTACGATCAAGTGTGATAATCAGAATCTTTATAGCGCTATGGTTTTGAATCTCTTGGTGTAGTATATGGCAGTCAAAGTGTGTTTTTCAATTCAACAAATTTTCCTAGATAGTTGCTACTCTTGATGGAATTATTTGCTGCCAAATGTTGTCCCAGCTGCTGCTAACCGATGATTTTCCCTGTTCACTTTGTACTTTTCTTCTTTTCTTTCAAATGTTTAGTGAATATTGGCTAGTTGGTGGAATTGGGAATGGATTGGAGTTCAAGTCTGTAACTTTTGTCTACTACTTCACCTCTACTATATTTACTGGATGCTGATTTAAGTCACTTTGACAGTAATGAACAAACAGTTGCCTGAATTCCACCTTGAGAACAAGTTGCTACTGTAAGGGAGGGGTATTAACAAACCTCTTATCAGGTTCACTCATGCGCGTAGGAATAAATAGTCAAGTAGTCAAGGGTTGGAGGGTGCAATTGAAGGTTGGCAAATAAAGTAGTATGGATATAACAAAAAGGGTAGTTTGGGAATTTAATGGGGGAAGTTTGTTAATACAGCTAAGAGGTTAGTGGGGTGGGATATCCATTTTGTAAAGAAATCAGGGAGAGCCAGGGGAGATTTCCAGCGTCTCGAAGTGCTGGAACATGTCCTTTTGGCTATAATCATTCAATTTCATCTTTGGAAAGTTGAAAAAACAGATCGTTCAGCAATTACATACGAATTGTACATAGGAGACCTTTGTGTCTCGGACCTTAAATAACACCGTGTTGGATTATTTAAGCATCTAGGGTTCCAACTCAAGATCATAAATAGTTTGCATACAAACTTTATGTTTAGATGATGTCGGTTGCACTTGAGCACGTGCACCACCCTCCCCAAAGGCTTACTTGTGGACATATTTTTTAGGCAACATTGACTATGAACGTGGATGTTCCATACGTCCGAAATAACTTGCTCGATACTATTAGATCTCCTGTATTAGAACTCATACACCAAAGGGCTGTTCATGTATGTGACTATGGTATGACTACTGTCAACATAAACACAGAGTTTAACTAATTTTGGATAGTTTCGGAAAGATTGCTATGATTTCTCTAAACATGAAAATTTGATTGTCTAGACTGATCCGTTGTATGCTAGTGTAGTGTTTTGTATATCCTAAGAACACAGCCTTCATGCTATTCTCATCGTGCATCTTTTTCCAAAATTTCGTCTCAGACTATCCCTGGTATGGAAGGTTCTCTAGATATTGCTTCTTCTGCTCGTGGCTTGCCTCAAATGGTAAAACTTCTCACAGCTGTTTGCTGCTTTGGTTTTAATGTTGTACTTCGTATTGTTTATTCATTCCAAGTGATCAACCATGTGTTTTTATTCTTGAAATTTACAGGTTATAGAGAGCATAAACAAGTGTGATGTTGATATTCGGAGAGAATTATTCAGTAGTATCCTGGTAATATTTTTGATCCTTGGTTTAAGTTCTCTTTGGTTATTAAAATACCCTATATGAGGGATTATTTTCTAGCAAATATATAGGTTCTGTTTTCCGTTTTTGTTACCCTAGCAACATTTTGCAAAGGTTTTTCCATGTGATATGTTGCCATGGCATCTAGATTGAAATTTTTTGATAGTTGTCACATTAGTCATGGAGACCTTCATTGTGTCGTTGCTGGCCACCTTTCACTTAGAAGCCTTTCATTCTATTTATTACCCTATATGGAGTTTCATCTTTGGCAGGGTATTTCTTTTCTATATCTGATTCTTGTAAATACAAGTGTTGTGCTTCACACCAATGAGTTTATGAACTCCCATGAATTTTTCCATGATCTTCAGATGGTGATAGTAGGCAGTCGGCATCACCAGATGTCATGTAATTTACATCATTAAGTATTACCTAGTATTTGCTTCGGTCTGAAATATAGTATGCACCATCTGTCCTTGTTATGCAACTCTGATGTATACATATCGTTTGCACAGATGACCTTAGAGTTGGGTATGGTTTAGTGGTCTATGTCAAATGGTTCCAAATTTATAAGGGGGATAGATTCAGGTGTTGAGTTGCCTGAAGCTCTATAACTTTTTAGAACTCTTGTAGTTGTAATTCTTTTGGAATCTATTGCTCTCCATCATTCTATGATAGATACTTGAAAATTCACGTAAAGTTTTTCAATATCTTCTTTCTATCTTGTGTCTCCTTTCATAAATCATAATAGGTTTTTCTACATATGTGCAATATATAGTTCTTTATTGATTGCACCCTGACAAATAAAGTATATTGATATTTGAGTAGCAATAATACATATACTAGACTGCCTGGAGGGAATGGGATAGAATCTATAATGTTTGCATGTAATTTAGTACTTGTTTTTATGTAGTACTATTTGATTAGGATCAAAATCCATGTTGGTTGTGTTTCCTTTTGTACAGCTTGCTGGTGGCACGGCATCAATGCAACAACTGAAAGAACGCCTTGAGAAAGACTTGCTAGAGGTTCACTCACTAAACTATGCCTTTCTTCAAAAAATTGTCGACATTTAAAGGCCTGAAATATGATTAAATAGATGGAAAAAAGTATGATGACATTAATTCTGATCTCTAAGGCGTATGGTGAAAGAAAACAATGACATGAGCAGGGACGGAAACCTTTTGAGGTGTATTGTGTAAAACAAGGGTTTGCATTACATTTACAGTATGAGTGGCCTATGGTGTTTACCGTAATGTGATCTGATAGGAGAAACTATTGTTATGATTACAACCATTCCAACATGGATTTTGATCCTGTGTATTCTATATAGGAATCTCCTCAAGCAGCTAGAGTTAAAGTATTAGCCAGCGGCAACTCAACCGAAAGAAGGTTCAGGTATGATTTCTCTCTCTCTCTCTCTCTCTCTCTCTCTCTCTCTCTCTCTTTTTGGTTATTTTCTTCTTTGCCAAAACTTACACCAAATATTTGGAAATTCTTATTGAATTTTTCTATATGCAAATAGCATATGTAACTCACTTTTATCAGTTACTTGTCCATGGGCATAAATAAAGATGAAGTTCAAAATTACATGAGATTACTTTATTCTATCTAGCTTATCAGCTTGTTTGTCAAACATAACCTAAATGTTTGAATAGTTTGCTAACATTCATGATTGTTAGTAGCAATTGGTTCGTTTGAAATGAATAATTTGCTTACGTTCATGGTGGTTTCTTGTGAATTCAATAGCAATTGGTTCGTTTAGTATTGGGATTTGTTTGTTTTGACAGTGTTTGGATAGGAGGGAGCATATTAGCGTCTCTTGGATCGTTTCAGCAGATGTGGTTTTCCAAATCCGAGTAAGTTTGTAATCATCGACTTTCTTTCTTTATAACCAAGTTTTATGTAATCAAATGATTGATATCCATGCAACAACAGGTACGAAGAGCATGGATCTTCTTACATTCAAAGAAAATGTCCTTGAGAAGGAAGGGAAGCAAGTTTCATAGTAGTAGTAATACTAGTCTTAGAAGAGAATGTGTTGTATAACTTATTTTGATTCCGAATGAACCCGCCCTTTTTAACCTTGGAATCATCTCAAACTCTTGTGACGGAAATCTACTAACCGACATCTATTGTTTTATACTATGCTTATCTTATTTAAGCTTGTTGAAAAGAAGTCATGTGACCAAATTGAGATACGGTAAGAACGCAGGTACAAAACTTTCATGTCTATTTACATATTTTTGTTATCACAATCGAAACTTTAACAAATTGTGGAAGTGAAAGATAATGTTTGATGGAGGCAGTTGAAAGTAAACGAAGGTAAATCATTTATCCAAAGGCTTCTTATGGTAACGGATGTTTGATATTGTACATCTATTAGAGAAGATAAGGCCATTCGTATATCAAGAATTCATCTACAAGGAGGAGGAGGAGGAGGAGGTCGTTCACAATGAATCAACCAAAAATGGAACGTCTAATATATTATTAGGCCAACACTTATAGATTAAAAATAGAATGTATTAATAATATTTAGGGGTATACATACAATAATACTCTTTGCAAAGTAATGAGAAGAAAAATCTAGAGACAGAAGCATATTACAATTCGATTAACAGTTTGAGTTAGATTTGTAGCAAGGATTTGTGAATTTAGTGGTTGCTGTGTTCTTGTAGATTTGAATTCCATGTAAAATTCGTTATTCAGGGTCACTTGTATTTATCCTTTGATTTTGGGAGGGAATCAAATATGTTACAGCATGCAATCTTTATTACTACTGTCACCAAATCGATCACACATGCTTGTTGAGCCTTTGTAATCCATTTGTCCACATTGAACACTCGAATTTGATCTACAGCCTGCCTGCACACAATTGGAAAAAATGGCTGGTAACAAAATGGAAAAAAATTACTTAAAATTATATATATATAATTATATATATAAAAACCATGCAAAAAGTCTATTTTTTATACGATTTTTGTTAATTCCTGTTTTGAACAAATACAACACTCAAGTAAGATGCAATCTTGATGCAATTCAAGATTTAAGAAATTCGGCTTGTATATTGATGAGGGGAATTTTACAATACTGAATATTGAAAATGTAAGTACTAATGCATTTATTCTCTTCTTAACTTCTTACAACAAACTACCATTAACAAGCTATTTAAGATTGACTAAACATACAACTCATTGAGCACAATCTTGACTTTTGTTGACTATGTTGACTTTAAGCTTTGACCTCTTCAATCTTTTAAACTCGGTGATCTTAAATACAATAATGTTTGACCTAACAATCTCTCCCTTTGTATTCGAGATCACATGCGTCAAGACAAATTCCTTTTGTCTTCACTTCAAAAGATCTTTGACATAAACAATCCCCCCAATAAAGACAATCAGTCTTTGTCACTGTGTGAAGAATCTGAAAGATAACAATCTCCCCTTTTTAGCAGATATATTCTTCATATCAAAATATTCATTTTGAAACAACATGTTGTTTTTCTTTTGAGGTCTTCAACCGTCAACAAATCTTCAAGAAATCATTTTCAAACAACAGATAAGCTTTAGACACTTAGGCTTTAAGCTTTGACACTATGTGTCCTAAGCTTATTACCATTATATCACGAAAAAAAATCCAATTTTGTCAACAACTTTCTTCTAACAACTCTAATTCAATCTTCCTTTCACAGATAAATCAACAATGAATCTCAACAAGTCAGCACAAATTCTTCAAATCAGCACCAAACTTTTCATCAACATATACAATCTTAAATCTTATGGCTTTTCAACCATAGACTCAAAAGATTTAAATTCAACCTTCTCTTCGATGTATTGATTTGACAAAATACCAGTTAAGCTTCATTTACAAATATCAACACTTTTGAACATCAACACTAGTCATAAACATCTTTGAACAATATTTCTTTCCTGTAACATCAGTGTACTCTTTTCATGTCTTTGCATCATGTCTTCTTCTTCTCTTCTTGTCTTTGATATTATTTCTCCCCCTCATGATGATTAGGAGAATCTTGAGCATCATAAACAATCAAAGACTGAAATTTCACCTCTTATGAACAATACAACTTAGTAACCAAAACTTCTTCAGATATACTCCCCTGTAGAAATGAATCCGAATTTCTCAAGTATCTTCAGTTAATCTCTTTCTTTACACAAATCAAGATTTTATCTCCTTCTCAGAAAAATATATTTGTCAGAAACAACATTCTCTCCCCCTTAAAAATAGATCTCTTTCAAGCACATTGTCGTGCTCCCCCTCGAAAAAATGGGTAATCGTCTAACATATATAAACACATTTAGTAACTATTTAATCGAAATAAATTCAAACGAGTGGCCTATTTTCTGAGTTGACAATAGTGGATCTTTGATAGGACATCTAGTTATCAATGAAGTAAAGTTATAGAACTAACTTCTCAAACTGTTCTAACATAATTTCAAAGATATGCAATTTGAGTTACAAAGACGCGTGGATATGTGAAGAAAATATCATCTAGATATATTTGGACTCAATAGACTCAATGTGCTTAGAATATGAATTTCGAAGACCGGAGGTGCTTCTTCTTGTTTCAATATCTAAATCTTCTGAATGAAGAATAGATAAATTATATGTTAATTCTTAGTGATATATGAAACAAACACCTTTTGTGAGATATTTGAGTATCTAAGGGGGGGGACACGAGTAGTCAACACTGGGTCCATGTCTATTTCAATATTCATCTCCAAAGAATGAGAATGAATAGATTGTGTGGCTACCCGAATAACTATTTGGTTTAGAAAGGACTATATTTTTTCTTTTAAGTTCTGTCACACTCTCACCATGTTCTTTTAACTCATAAACACTCAATCTCTCAACATTTCACCTCAAAACACTCACTTTCAAAATATATCTAACCTAGGGATGTATTTCATGGTAGATCCTTCCGGCTCTAAATTGACCAATGAAACTTCTATATTCTTAGCACTCAAAAAGTATCACACATTCAGAGATATACTTTGAATCATAGAAAAACAATGAAGAATGAGTCATGAACTGATGTATTCAGGAGTCAAAACAATGAAGTACAGGTTCTAAACTGAAATGTTTAGAAGCTAATATGTAGAGCAGGTCTTGAACTGAGATGCTCAGAAACTAAAACACTAAATTTCGAGTTCTAGACTGATTTATCTAGAAGTCAAAAACAAGAAAGTATTTATTTAGGAATTGTCAAAGGAACAAATATGAATGCTAAACAAAATGATGCAATAGGCTCAGTGCATACAACAACTATTCAATGATTAAAAAAATTTAATTGTTAAGAGCATGTCACAATTAATATATATCAGATAAGAATCGAATCATTGATATGAAATATGCACATTGAAAAACAAATAAGATTTTAAACGAGTGTATTTCCACCGAAAATTCAACAAATATATGAGACGTGGAAATAACTAGGTCAAAAAAATATATAACACGTGGTAATTCAAGAATAGATTGGCAATTGTAAAGAAACTAACACAAGTAAGTTTCTTAGATTGAAATACCACGGTTCTTTGACAATCACTTTTCAAACAAAATCATATGGTACAATTAATATTTTCCCCTCAAAGATAAAATAAACTTACTCCCCCTTAAACCAATCATTTGTCTGATCAAGTGTTTGAATAATCTGAACTCATCACCACACATGATAAACCTGCAAAACAGATTTTGGTACCCATCTCTTAATGGGTCCTTGTATCTTAGCTTTGGGGTATACTGTAAGTACCAAACCATCTACTCAGCTTAGATCTCCTAACTTTATATCTAATCACTGGGGATTCAGGGATAGAATAAGTACCGTACGACCTGTTTACATACCTTTGATTTACAAAATCATTTGTTCCACATGTTGAACAACATATCATCTTCTAACTAAGACTGATTAACTGACTAGTAGAACAAACAAAGCACGGTAAATCAATCTTTGAAACTAATGACTTTGCATCAACTACATGAGATTTATATGGCTTGTTTCCAATATTTCCTCTATACTTGATTTCTTTCTCCAAACCATTTTTACCTTCTTAGAATAACTATCTGATTTATAAAGACAACACTTGTTAAAAGGATTAGAAGTATGAGTATGATATTTTGAAGAACTGTGTGATTTGGTGTATTTGTTAGAACATCGGTTTTATTCAACACTTGAAGTATAGTTATTCTTACAAACACTGCTTAGAAAAAAAAAAGAATTAAATTCATGAACTGAACCAGAAGCAGTTTTATATGAAAATACAGATCAGTATCAGTCGAACCATCATATAGTGGAAAAATAGTAGTATCGAGACTAAACTGTTTAGAGATATCAGCCTTATCTGAATTCTCTTTGATTTTCTGCTTAGACTTGAAAATAATTTTTTAAGTTCCATGACTTTATTAGAAAAAAACATTTCTTTCTCCAATACTCAAATCAAATTCCTTATGAAAATCAATTCTCAAACTCTGCTCAGTTACAAGATCTGTTACTAACTCAAACAATTTTTGTGAAAGTTTCAATATTTCCTTCTCAAAAACTTTCTTTTCACTTTCAAAAACTTTCAGCTCACTATCATACACTTTTCTGTCATCCTCTACTTTATTTTCCAACTGAGAGATCTTCTTTGAAAGTTCAACAGACTTTGCTCTAAAAGATTTTCGTTTAGCTTCAGAATCTGCTCGTTGCTTCTTTTTACCTTCTGATTTCAAAACATCAACATAAATCTTGTCCTTTGGTGATAGGTCAAACTTAATAAACTCTTCATTTAAACAAACCTCATAATTCATACAAGCACAAAAATCAATTTCTCCAAAAGTTTTCACTCTATCATATGAAGATTTCGAACTAAAAGATGATTGCATTTTAGAATCAGACTTTTGGGAAATGCTTGGTTCTAAACATCCCATAAAGGCTTTACAAGAAGAAACATCAGAATTAGTGGAAGAAATATTTTCAGTATCTTAAACTTGAGTAGATTTTGAAGTATTTGTAATAGAAAGTTCAAGATCTTTAATTTTCAACAAAAGTTGAGTATTCTTCAAAAACCTTTGTAATTTCCAAAAAAATTTTCTTAAGAAAAGGTGTAACATACATATTATGTTCAACTTGATTTTCAGTATGTTGAACTTGATTTTCAGAAAGTTCTTCCTTTGTGTAGC